GAAGCTTTTCGAGCGGGGCGCGGTCAACGAAAGTGGCCAAGGATGGACCGAGGAGGCAAGGCTGCAAGAATGCACTTGGGGAATGGCTCATCCTTACCATGCGGGTCGACTGTACCGCGGCCAACCGTCCAACCCCAGCCAACCCTCGTGACAGCCCTGGCCAAACCCAGCCAACCATCCCAGCCAACCCTGGTTGCCCGGGTAATTCTTCCAATGGGTCCAAATACTGCTCTGCAAGTGTTTCTTCTTCGGATTGTGGCCGCCATTGGGCGCGACACAGTCGCCGGTCGCCGTGTCTGTGCTCGACGGTGGTGGAGACAGCAGGGCAGTGGCAGAGAGAGAGAGAGAGAGACGGAGAGAACAACACCTAGATCTCCGTCGTCGCGACGCTCTCGCGACGTGGGCCCCCCGATGCCTAGACGCCTTTCCCCGGGCTGGTCTTGCATTCCGCGCCGTGTTTGGACCGTCCCGAAGCCCAGTGAGGGCTCTTTTCCTTCATGGCGACGAGGTGAGGCATGGCAATGGTCCCCAAGGACTTGAGAAGACTCTTCTCCAAGCGACCTGCGGAGATCAATCAAGATACATATCTGTAAGTTCAGATCGGTCGAAGACAACCCACAGACATCGTAATGCATCTGGGCACGTCGTGGGCTATCCAAGTATCCACCGCGAGCCGAAGGACAGTAGAAGACGACAGGCCCTCAACGAAAGAAGAGGAGCTCCACCGGCGACGTCCAGGGCTCAAGAATGAGGACCGCTGGATGCTGAAGACTACGGTAGGAACCCGTGCCAAGAAACATCCTGCTTGCCTCCAGGGTGCCCTGGGTTTCTTGGGTTTCGATGGCTTTGCTCTGGAAAGCGTGACGCCGCCACACCACAAATCAGTGGACGTCCTGGGGTCTCAGGGCTGGGTTTCTTGTGGTCGAGCTCCTACTGTACCAGAAGCCTCCCGTCGTGACAGCGAAGAGGAGGTCCGAGGCGTGGGAGAGGCAGCTCCTGGGAGCTGCTCTCAAGAGCGAGGCCAGGCAGGAGGGGTGCGGCGCGGAGAGGAACGGAACTCGGCCAGGGGGGGTCGGACTGAGCCTGGGATCGAGCTGGACTGCGCGGGACCAAGCGGAAGTGAGCAGGAGTGTGCGGAAGCAGGCTGGAGCAGCCCAGCTTTCGACCGCGGATACATACACACATATATATATATATGGATATATATATATATATATATATATATGTATGTGTATATATATATGTATGTATATGTATATATATATATATATATAGGTTTATATATATATATGTATGTGTATGTATATAGATATCGATATATTTGTATATGTATATCTATATACACACATATACATGTATATGTGCCCGCGCTGGATCAGAATTTCAAGCCTCCCAAGACCTGCGTCCTGAAGAACAGATAGGTTCGAATCAGGGACGGGCTGACCCCGGTCTGCACTGCCCCAGGTCGGCCAAAGCCGTGTCGCGAGCCCCAGCCAGCAGCATCCTGTCTCTCACGCCTGGCTCGGGGTGGGGGTCCGGCGCCACGTGGCTCCCCCAGGATCAGCGGGGACTGGCTGATCCCCAGCAGCGCTGACCCCCCGTCGCGCTCCCAGATCTCCCACGCCGTGCCTGCCCCGAAGCGCGGAGCCCTGGAGGTCCAGATCCCCTCCCCAGGGCTGGCTCTGCACTCCGAGCCTTCGTCCGACGGCCCCGACGCCCGACGAGGCCCCCCTGTGGGGGGCCCAAAATATCTCAACACCGCCCGTCGTGATTCTTGTCAGGGGATTGGCCGACCCCCGTCACGTTCGCCCCGGCGGGGAGGAGAGGAGTTCCGCCGGCGACGTCCGCAGAGTGGCAGTGGCCCCGCGCCGCCCGGCGTCACCCCCGTCCATGGGTGCTCGGTCGACGGGGACTCTTTTTTTTTTTTTTTAAAAAAAAGGGCCCCTTCCCCCCCAATGTTCAAGGTTAAGCGCCTGCCATACACGACGACAAGCACGGTGCCTCCTCGATTGTATTCGGAGCCTTGCTTCGAATTGCTGCTGCGGAGTGCCAGGAAGACCATATCTAAATATCTAACGGGGACGGGGACTCGGTCGGTCGACGGGGACTCTTGGCCGATGCCAGGAAGCTGCGCTTTCCTGCCGCGCTCCTCCACCATCCCGCGCGAAAATAGCGCTCACCTGCGACTCTGCTGCCGCCTTCCTGCGCGCTGCCGAGGTACCCCGTTGCTATGGGTGCCCGTGCCGGTGGTGCTGAGCAGCGCGCGCTGCGGAGGCGCTGGCCCCAGCGTTTGCGCGGGGCCGCCAGGTCGCGCGGTGTCACTAAAGGGGCCCAGGGACACACAAATAAATAGCCACAACTCCCAGGAGTTCCAGTATTTTTTCATATTCTCTGGGTTTTCGTCTTCCCCCCCACTTCCCATAGTTTTCAAATCTTTCCTGGGAGGCGACGATCACTTGTGTCTGTGCTCTTTCCCCGCCTGATCCACGCCAGAGGTCGGTCGGTGGATGGGTGGAGGAAGAGGAAGAAGCTTCAGGGGGACGAGAACGGGGAGGACTGGCAGGCGTGCGAGAAACTAGGGCCATAGAGTTCCAAGATGTGTCGACGAAGGGCCGCCTCCCGTACTCCAATGCAAGATCCGTGGGCGATGGATGGTCAATGCATCCCCC